TACTAACAATTTCCATTCCTTTTTCAAAATCCCAATACCATCGGCGTCATACCAAGGCCAACGAAACGGAAACATGACACTAAAGGTCAAATGACGGAATCATGACCATATGAAGTATGTTTAAGGTATATTTAGTATATTTTACTGGATATCTATAATAAAATCTCGTTACAAACAGAGAAGCTGATGAATGATATGTATATTTTTGTAATTTATTTAACTATAGTCTTTTTTATAGAAAATATATTTTTAGATATAAACTATAGTGTTTTTTATTTTTAACCTTAAAAACTCATTGCACCATTCAATTGTAGGGAAAATTATAAAGGAAGTATATAGTAATGATAAAAACATTTAAGAAGTCACTGACAACTTCGTGATCTGCCAAAAGTATGTGCATCCTTAAGTATTCATTTTCTGTTTCATCAAGACATACGTTACTTGCAATTGCAGATGAGATAGCAAAGGATAGCTGGATGAAGAAATGTCCAACATGAATCAGCGAATATTGAAGTTTGGCGAATAATATTTCAAAGTACTGAGTGACGTATGTATCTTCTTAGCCCTAATTGCATGGTTAGATTTTTAAGAGTCTGACGGAGATAGTCCTACTTATAGATGCAAAAGTTTGGATGTATGAATGGATGTATGAATGGATGTATAGATGGATTTATGGATGGATGTATGGATTTATGGATGGATGTATGAACGTATGGATGGATGGATATAGGATAGATGGATATAGGAAGGATGGATGGATATAGGATGGATGGATTTAGGATGGATAGATATATGATGGATGGATATAGGATGGATGGATATAGGAAGGATGGATGGATATAGGATGGATGGATTTAGGATGGATGGATGGATATAGGATGGATGGATATAGGATGGATGGATATAGGATGGATGAATATAGGATGGATGGATGGATGGATGGATGGATGGATGGATGGATGGATGGATGGATGGATGGATGGACGGAAGGATGGATGGATGGATGGATGGATGGATGGATGGATGGATGGATGGATGGATGGATGGATGGATGGATGGATGGATGGATGGATGGATGGATGGATGGATGGATGGATGGATGGATGGATGGATGGATGGATGGATGGATGGATGGATGGATGGATGGATGGATGGATGGATGGATGGATGGATGGATGGATGGATGGATGGATGGATGGATGGATGGATGGATGGATGTATGGATGTATGGATGTATGGATGTATGGATGTATGGATGTATGGATGTATGGATGTATCGATGTATGGATGTATCGATGTATCGATGTATGGATGTATGGATGTATGGATGTAAGGATGTCTGGATGTATGGATGTATGGATGTATGGATGTATGGATGTATGGATGTATGGATGTATGGATGTATGGATGTATGGATGTATGGATGTATGGATGTATGGATGTATGGATGTATGGATGTATGGATGTATGGATGTATGGATGGATGGATGGATGGATGGATGGATGGATGGATGGCTGGATGGATGGCTGGATGGCTGGATAGATGGCTGGATGTATGGATAGATGTATGGAAGGATAGATTATAGTCTGGAATAGCACATAGGCTTTTTATCCCGAAAAATTATACGGCGTGGGATAGATTTGTTTTTGTTTTTCACAGAGCAAGGAATCAGATCTGATTTTTTTCATAGTGGTAGTGAAACATGAAACTTTGAAATACAGCTACTAAGCATAAATAAATAATACCATGTTTCACGGTTTTTTTGATGTTCATATTTTGAGGGTGGGGGGGAGGGAAACGAGGGTTGAGTTTATATGGAAGTATCGATTTTTTAAAGGTAAAAACTTGAAAATTGAAAATAAGTAAATAATGACGCATTTCAAGGTTTTAGATTTTCACATTTTAAGGAGGGGGAAAATGGTGAGTATCGTAAGAACAAATAATAAATAAAATTAAATAAAAATAAATAAAAATTAAATAAAAATTAATTAAAACAAAAATAAATAAAAACCGAATAAAAATAACTAAAGATTAATAAAAATAAAAAGTAATAAAAATTACTAAAAAACAACAAAAATTAATAAAAATTATTAAAAATTAATAAGAATCAATAAAAATTAATAAAAAGTAAAATTATCAAAAATTAATAATTTTAAGTTTATAATTTGATATTTTTATTATCCGTTTTTGAGTGCACTTTTCCTCAAAATATCTCGAATACGGGCCATTTTAAGAAAATTATGTATATGACAAGAATTATAGAGAATATCATTACAAGCAACTTTTATTTAAATAATTTTATTCTCCAAGCGTAAATAACGGTTATATTCAATAAAATAGAAGAACAGGTCACCATAAAGTACTCACCTAGATGTTCCGACTATGTCCAAAATTTAATCGGTTCACCGCAGAATGGATTAAAGCTTAAGTTTATAATTTGGTGTTTTTTTCTTTATCCGTTTTTGAGTTATTTTCAAAATTCGAAATTTGCACTTTTTCTCAAATATCTCAAATACGGTCTATTTTAGGGAAATCATGTATAGGACAAGAATTATAGAGAATATCATCACAAGCAACTTTTATTTGAAGAATTTTCTTCTTCAGGCATAAATAACGGTTATATTCCATAAAGTAGAAAAACGCTGCCTTCCAATGTTCCGACTATGCTCAAAATGCCACCTCACTGAGATCGAGTGATATATAGATAAATAAACAACATAATTTAAAAAAATATATACATTTAATAAAAAATAGTACACTACTTAAAAAATATTAAAAATTATTACTTAATGTAAATTGAATTGAATGAATTTATATACAAATTACAATAAAATGAGAAAAAGTAAAAAAATATAGTAAAGTAGTTTGAAAATGAATAAAAACATTTAAATATACCGAGAATCGGACTTTTTTCCATATCACGTTAATCTGATCATAACCAACTTTACATCATCAGTGACATCTATAATAGCTAACTTCACATCGCACTTTTGACGTTTAAGTAACAAAAACATATTGAAAAACATTTGAAAAAAAATAATTAATACTTGAATATATATATATATATATATATATATATATATATATATATATATATATATATATATAAATTTTAATAAAATGATGAGATTGTAAATCTATAGAAAATAGTAATTCTAAAATAAAAGTAGCAGTTATTCCACGTTAAATTTAACATCCAATACAGCTAACTTCACGTCGCACTTTTGACGTTTAAGAAACAAAAACATATTGAAAAACATTTGAAAAAAAATAATTAATACTTAAATTGAATATATAAAAAAATTTTAATAAAATAATGGGACTGTAAATCTACAAAAAATAGTATTTTTAAAATAAAAGTGGCACTTATTCCACGTCAAATTTAATAAATATAACCAACTTGACATCAATGGTATCTGCATTACCAATACAGCTAACTTCACGTCGCACTTTTGACGTTTAACCTCAAATACACAAACTGTGACGTTTAAATGATCGTTATGCCGGTATAGAAGATCTCTAAAGTGAAATCCGAAGTCCAGCGTCCTAGTGCCTATTAAAAATAACTTACTATACACTAAAATATTAAAATGATGTATAAAAATCAATCATCGGTGATCATCGATTCCGGTAAAGTATGTATGATAACTTTTCTTTTTGCATCATATACGAAATCGTTCGATTCGAATATCTTGCTGTGATAGAACGGTTTCAGATCACGGATATCGATCTGTTTGGCCTGAAATAATAAAAATAACGATATTGACTCGACAACCAGTGGATTATAAGCTGAACTATGTTCGACAAGTGTCTTACCTTATCCATTAAGTCTTTTTCGTCGATCTCTATTGTAAGCGCTTCCATTTCCGTGGTGTTTCGTTGGAAAGTGAGCTGATCTTGCGCCAGCTGTCTTAAAATATAGAACAAAAGTTCGCTGTGGTCCTTTTTGAACATGAGATACCGTTGGAATACCTGCGAGAATATGTCAACATTGTATTTATACCGCTATTTTAATAATTAAATACACAGAATACCTATCCTTTCGCTTTAAAATTAATTTCATACACAAGGTGTTTCAAAAAAGATATACCAACGCTCGTGAGGAGATTCCCTGCCAAAAAATAAGACAAATAGTTCCTATTTCAAAGATGTTATCAAGATCTGCTTCTATTTGTCAATTTACTCATCGATCTTGAAATGTGTCGATTGTAAAAGATTAATCGATTACAAAGAGTATTGATTGTAAAAGAATTTGAATATAAAAAGTATAAACTGCTAAAAAACGACAGTGAAAAATCTGTTATAAAAATCGATAGAAAGAATCGATTGTAAACAGTATCGATTGTAAAAAACGCAGATTTTAAATATAAAAACTATTGTAAAGAATTGAATATATTGTAAACAAGCATAACCAGTATCATTTGTAAACGATATCGACTAAAGTAGAATCGAAAGTAAAAATCGATTGTAAAAAATAAATTGTGAAAAAACGACTGTAAAGAATATTATTAGTAAAAAATAATCGACTGAAAAATCTGCTGACAGTAAAAAAATCAATAGTAAAAGTCGATTATGAAAAATCTACTAGAAAATCGACTGTGGAAAGAATCGACTGAAAAGTCTTAATAAAAAAATAATCGATTGAAAAATACGCAGATAGAAAAAACTCGATAGTAAAAGTCGATTGTGAAAAATCCATCACAAAAAATCGATTGTAAACTATCGATTATAAAAAGCGTAATTTTAAAAATAAAAACGATTGTAAAGAAATGAATACATTACAAACAAGCATAAACTATCAATTGTAAACGATATCGATTGCAAGTAGAATCGAAAGTAAAAATCGATTGTAAAAATCCATTGTGAAAAACGATTAAAAAGTATTATTAGTAAAAAAGAATCGATTAAAAAATGCGCCTATATTAAAGTCTTAATATAATAAAAAAAGAATCGATTGTAAATGCCCTGACGGTAAAAATATCGATTGTGAAAAATCTATTAAACAAATTAACTGTGGATATAATCGATTGTAAAAGTCTTAATAATAAAAAATAATCGATTGAAAAATGCGCCAACGGTAAAAAAATCGATAGTAAAAGTCGATTGTAAAAATCTATTACAAAAATCGACCGTGGAGAGAATCGATTGAAAAATGCGCTAACGGTAAAAAATCGATAATAAAAGCCGATTGTAAAAAATCTATTACAAAAATCGACCGTAAAAAGACTTGATGGAAATAATCGATTGTAAAACGCCTAGATTTTAAAAATAAAAACGATTATAAAGAAAAGAATAGATTGTAAACAAGCATAAACAATATTAATTGTAAACAAATCGATTTAGAAACGTCGATTGTAGAAAGTATTATTAGCAAAGAAGAATTATTAATAAAAAAAACACTCAATTGTAAAAAGCGCAATCCAATTAAAAAAAAAGATTTAAAAGTGTCAACAGTAAAAAAATAATTGTAAAGAAAAGAATATATTGCAAACAAGCAAACAGTATCAAATTGTAAACGATATCGATTGTAAGAAGAATCGATTATAAAAAAATCAGTTGTGAAAAACGAATGTAAAAAGTATTATTAGTAAAAAAAGAATCTATTGAAAAAAGCGTCAATTGTAAAAAAATGGACAGTAAAAGTAGACTGAAAAATTTATTACAAAAAATCGACTGAAAAGAATCGATTGTAAAAGGTATTATTAGTAAAAAACCCGATTGTAAACCATATCAATTTAAAAAAAAAATCGATTGTAAAGAAAGGAATAAAACAAATAGTATCAATTGTAAACAATATTAACTGTAGAAAGAATCGATTGTAAAGGGTACTATTAGTAAAAAAAAACCTATTGTAAACCGTACCAATTTAAAAAAAAAATCGATTGTAAAGAAAATAATAAAACAAATAGTATCAATTGTAAACAATATCGACTGTAAAACGAGTCGATTGTAAAAAGTATTAATAGTAAAAAAGAAACTATTGTAAAATGCGAAAATTGCAAAAAAATTGATTGTATACAGTATCGATCGGAAAAAATATAAAAAAATCGATTGTAAAATGCGTCCATTGTAGAAAAAAATCGATAGTAAAAGTCGATTGTGCAAAATTCATTATAAAAATTGATTAGAATCAATTGTAAAAAGCATTAATAGTAAAAAGAATCGATTGTAAAATGCGAAAATTGTAAAAACAAATTGATTGTATAGGAAAAAGTATAAAAAATAATCGACTGTAAAAAAATCATTGTTAAAAACATCATTTTATTGTAAAATGCGTCGATTGTTGAAAAAATCGATAGTAAAAGTCGATTGTGAAAAATTCATCAAAAAAATTGACTAGAAAGAAGCAATTGTAAAAAGTATTAATAGTCAAGAAATCGATTGTTAACTATATTGATTAAAAAAAAATCGATTGTAAAGAAAAGAATAAAACAAACAATATCAACTGTAAACAATATCTATTATAAAAAGAATCGATTGTAAAAAGTATTAATAGTAAAAAGAATCGATTGTAAAAAGAATTAAAATAAACCCATTGCCAAGTTTCGATTGTAAAAAAGAATTGACAGTAAAAAGAATCGATTGTAACGAGCATCAAATGTAACAAACCAATAATAAAATGAATCGATTCAAATAAATTGCAGTTAAGGGAAAAACTATATTATGTAAACGACTGTGAATTTTTACCTGTCTCATTGATTTCATCACGCTGTATTTCTGCGTTTCAACGAAGCTCTCCAACATCATTCTAACTGCCAAGTTAACGTCGTCTTCTTGGACGTACTCCCGCAAATGCATTCGAGCATGAGCTTCGCTCATCCTTATAATACTCTCGACGTGTCTGACTGTGATTGGTAAAGATCCGGTCGCCTGTAACGTTGTTATGTTGTAAATAAAGTTTTTTGAGGATATGAGAACAATAGACTTACCAAAGATTCCTGCCTCAACTGGCTGTATATATTCGCCACCTTATCCTGGTCCATATTTTGCAATTTCGGATGAATATTTTGCCTGGCGTACACCAGATATTTCTTCAACATCTCTTGCGGTATCTGCAAATCGCTAACGACCTGTTCGGGTGTTTCTTTGTCCTTATTAGCGGGGTGGTGACGAATATGTGAACCCACGACAAACCTGCGGAAAACAACCATTTTCCAGAAACACGATTGATTGCGATGGAAAGTAAAGATACTAAATACTAATAATAATGTTTACCTTCATTTGTATTTCGCAATATAGATTCTAAAAGGTATCGATTGTAAACCGTAGCGATTGTAAAAAGCGTAATTAAAAAAAATGTAAATAAAACATGTGAAAAACAATTGTAAAAATCTTTTAGAGTCGATAGTAAAAAAAATCGATAGAAAAAAATCGATAGAATAAAATCGATAAAAAATAATCGATTGTAAAAGTATTAACAGCAAAAAATAATCGATTATAAATAGTATTAATTGTAAAAAGCGTAATTTAAAAAAATATTTGATAAAAAAGAATTGAACAAGCTAAACAGAATTAATTGTAAACAATATAAGACTATAAAATGTATTAATAGTAAAAAGATTCGATTGTAAAATGTGGGAATTATAAAAAAATTGATTGTATACAGTATCGAAAAAAAAAAAAAAAATAATCAACTTTAAAAAAAAAAAATCAACTTTAAAAAAAAAAAATAATAATCAACTTTAAAAAAAATCAATGGTGAAAAGAATTAATAGTACAAAATAAACAATTATTGTAAAATAAGTAGATTGTAAAAAAAAATCGATAGTAAAACACGACTGTGAAATATTCATTATAAAAATCGACTAGAAAAAATCGATTGTAAAAGGTATTAATAGAAAGAAAAATCGATTTAAAAAAAATCAGTCATAAAGAAACTAAAAGAACAAACATAAACAGAATCATTTGTAAACAAAATCGACTGTGAATATAATCAATTGTAAGAAGTATTAATAGTAAAAAGAATCGATTGTAAAATACGAGAATTGTAAAAAAATATTGACTGTATACAGTATTGAGCGGAAAAAGTTTTGTAGGTCATTTTTGCAATAGTTTCGTTTGTTTCTTTTCAGACCTGAGTCGATTATATTCGATTAAAATCGATTTATTTTATCGAAAACTTAATGTATATTTCAATTTATCGAACAATTACACATTTTATGAACCTGTGTTGTCGAAAACCATTTTTTTTAATACATTTACTGTGACCAAAACTCGAAGATTTTCTATACATATTTCGAAATGGTCTTTACCTGGCTAAATGTTGATCTTGGATGGGATCGACCTCATCCCTTACAACGCACAGGATATCGAAACGAGACAGAATTGGATCGGAAAGATTGACGTTTTCTGCGAATGTCAAACTAGCGTCATACCGACCACCGATCGGATTTGCAGCTGCCACTACCGAACATCTGGCTTGGAGGCTGGTCACGATACCGGCTTTCGAAATAGATATGGATTGTTGTTCCATGGCTTCGTGGATAGAGGTACGATCTTGATCGTTCATCTGCAATAGACCCAGAATGGTAAAATCTCCTATTGGGCTAATCAGTACTTTGTAATATCTCACCTTGTCGAATTCGTCAATGAGACACACCCCTTGATCGGCTAGTACCAAAGCGCCCGCTTCCAGCGTCCACTCCTTACTTGCTGGGTTTCTTCTGACGTAAGCGGTCAAACCTACGGCGCTGGCGCCTTGGCCGGTGGTGAAAATGGCTCTGGGTGCGATTTTTTCAACGAATTTTAAAAATTGCGATTTCGCTGTACCCGGGTCACCGCATATCAGTACGTTGATGTCACCGCGAATTTTGTGTTTTTTACCTAAAGTACCAAAATATGAGGTTGTAAAGAATGATTTGTGGCTCGCACACGTGACTATGAAGACTAGAGAGAAGAAGTGGAATCGACAATGGTAGGGTTAATAACAAAACACCAAAAACATTTAGCATAGCTGCTAAAAAATAATCACAATTCAAAAAATCGCATTTTTAAGATAATTCCATAGATCGAGCAGAAATTAAACACCCTACCTTCTAAAAAACCCTAATTTTTTTTACTAATACTTACTAATCTTCAAGAAATCAGATGTAATGCCTTTAAACGGTTTTTTCTCGAAACTATATTTTTTGAGTTGTGCGATTTTTCAGATACGAAATAACAGCCTATCTCTCCTAAACATTTTCTTTTTTTATTTATTTTGATATATCAATTATCAAGAAAATTTCAAGCTTTCCAAAAAATGTATGCAAAAAATTTTATTTTTTTTTAACAAGGTCAATTATGACCTTGATTTTGTTTGTTACGGATTTGTCAGTGTTTGGCTTATTATTGCTTTATTTGGTATTGTCTTGTTTATTGTTTTGATTATTGTTTTGTTTATTGTTTTATTTATTGTTTATTGTTTATTAGTTTTTATTAGTTTTTGAAACACCCTGAACAACAAACAACTTAAAACATTTTGATATACCAAACGGCAGCCTGATCTTACCTAATCATTTTCCTTTCTGCTTTGTTATCTCAATTATTAAGATAAATTCAAGGTTTTCAAAAAATGTTTGCAAAAAAATGTTATTTTATTTGAACACTGTCAAGTATAGCCTTGATTTTGTTTAATGTTTTGTTTGTTATTGTTTTGTTAGTTAGTTTTGTTTCTTATTGTTCAGCTTATATAAACTAACGATATTTTATAGTAATTTTGTAAAGTGAACAACAAATAAAATAAAAACATTTTCAGATACAAAAATGCAGACTGATCTTTCCTAAACATTTTTTTTATTTACTTTGACATCTCAATTATTAAAAAATCAAGGTTTCCAAAAATTGTATGCAAAAAATGTTATTTTATTTTATCAGGATCAACTATAGCCTTGATTTTGTTTGTTACTGTTTTATTTGTTATTGTTTGGTTTGTTATTGCATTGTTATTGTTATTTATTGTTTTGTTAGTTTTTCATTGTTTTGTTTTTTTTTTGATAATGTAAGGAGCTTAATCTTTCCTAAACATTATTTTTTTTATTTACTTTGATATCTCAATTATTAAGAAATATTCAAGGTTTCCAAAAAATGTTATTTTATTTGAACAAATCAACTCTAACATTGATTTTGTTGTTACTGTCTTATTTGTAATTGTTTTGTTTGTTGTTTTGTTTATTGTTTTGTTCCTTATTGTTTTGTTTGTTATTGTTTTGTTTGTTATTGTTTTGTTTGTTATTATTCGGCACCTATAAACTATTGAATTTTTTTTATTACTTTTTGAAATACAAAAAATAAAATCAATTTTATATACAAAATGGCAGCCTGATCTTTCCTAAACATTTTTTTTATTTACTTTGATATCTCGATTATTAAGAAAAATTTGTTTCCCAAAAATATATGCAAAAATGTTATTTTATTTGAAAAAGTCAACTATAACCTTGATTTTATTGTTACTTTTTTTATTTGTTATTGTTTAGCTTGTTATTCCTTTGATTGTTTTCTTAGGTATTGGTCTGTATTTTTTTTTTTGTTTATTTTGTTCGTTTGTTTTGTTTATTGTTCGGCGTCTATAAACTAATGATTTTTTTAGTAATTTTTGAAACACCCTGTAGAGTGAACAACAAAAAACTAAAAACATTTTCAGATACCAAATGGCAGCCTAATCTTTCCTAAACATTTTCCATTCTTATTCACTTTGATATCGCAATTATTAAGAAAAATTCAAGGTTTCCAAAAAATGCATGCAAAAAATGTTATTTTATTTGAACAAATGATTTTGTTGTTACTGTTTTATTTATTATCGTTTAGCTTATTACTTTGATTGTTATTGTTGTTTATTGTTTTATTTGTTACTATTTTGTCATTATTTTGTTTGTTATTTTATTTGAACAAATTATTTTGTTGTTACCGTTTTATTTGTTATTGTTTGGCTTTTTATTGCTTTGTTATTGTTATGTTTGTTTATTGTTCTGTTTATTGTTTTGTTTATTGTTTTGTTTATTGTTTTGTTTATTGTTTTGTTTATTGTTTTGTTTATTGTTTTGTTTATTGTTTTGTTTATTGTTTTGTTTATTGTTTTGTTTATTGTTTTGTTTATTGTTTTGTTTATTGTTTTGTTTATTGTTTTGTTTATTGTTTTGTTTATTGTTTTGTTTATTGTTTTGTTTATTGTTTTGTTTATTGTTTTGTTTATTGTTTTGTTTATTATTTTGTTTATTTTGTTTATTGTTTTGTTTGTTAATTTTGTTTGTTATTGTTTTTATTGTTATTAAGTTCATTACTGTTTTGTTTGCTATTTTTTTTATTTGTTATTGTTTTGTTTGTTATTGTTGTATTCGTTATGAAGCCGAATGGAAGCCAACTTCTTCCATCTTGATTGACAACAAATAAAAATTACAGATGTAATCAATACATGAGGAGAAATTTAGATTGCCGTTTATATTTATTCCCTAGGAATTTTGTAATCTTATCTGTAATAAGAATTAAATAAAAATAATGTCAAATTGACATTGAAACATGACGTCATTTGGACTCTGACAAATTTACGTCATGTTATCGTTATTAAAACGTTAATTTTTTGCTACCTGGGTTATTTTTTGAAACAGCATCAATTTTAGTTGATTCACTTCCTTTCATCTAGTCCTCATAGACGACCAACCCTGACTTACCTGGATTTTTAGATTGTCCACCAAACAGCGATAGCGAAAGAGCCCTTTTAATGTACTCATGTCCGTATATAGACGGCGCGATCGACGCGATTATCCTTTCCGCAATCCTATGATCCTTGCTCATTTTAATAATAGAATTAATATCATCGTCGGTCAACGATTGCACGATCTGTTTGCAATCTTTAACTATCAGATGATTAGCAAAAATGACGGTAGAAAATACAGGGAAACCATTATCGGTGTTAAGCGACCCGTTGTAGCTGTTGGTGTAGATACCGGTCACGTCGATTTCGTCGCCGGGTTTGCATCTATCGCAAAGGTCCGCTAAAAGGATGCATTCTTTCGATCTGGGCACTCGTCCGGCTGGAATACGACCGGGCGATTCTTGTAACGTTATTTTCTGGTAGTTCCGGAACAAGGTTTGTTCCATATTGATCTAAATCATAACGGTTGCTATTGTACTTTAATCTATTTATTGAAAGAAAGTGAGTGGTCCGCGAATTAAACCTTGCGGAACCTTTTTCATATTACCTTGGACAATATAAAGGAACATAAATTAAACAAATAAAGTAATCAAATTTAATATATTTATGAACAATAAGTTTCAGTGCCTGCTTTCCCGCTACAATCTAGTCCATTAAAAGAAGAAATTGTGTGGCATGTGGCCATAGCCCTCAGAAGGTCTAGATACCGCATCGTAAAAACATTTTGACCCCCCATATGATGGGCGCCATGATAAATAAATGTCAATAAATTTTAAGTTGGCACTACTGACAAGACAGAATCGGCGCAAGTTTAGTAATAAGCGTAAGATCGGCGTCCGACGTATATAATCGATTTTATTATCTGTTGTGTTGTTTATTTTGTTCTTCTAGTAAAGGTTTTATTTAAAACATTATTTTTTAGTTTAGTCGTTTAGTGTTTTATTTTAATAAAAAACATTTGTGGTTTGGTGTTAAATTTTTACAGGATTTTCAAAATCTCTTTTTGTTTTGTACGTGAATGTAACAATGCATCTAACGGTAGAAGATACAAGGAAGGAATAACATTTCATGTGTAAGTTTTCACAAATATTTGTGTATTTACAAAATCAAATAATTTGTATGTTTTGTTGTAGCATACCAAAAAATGTTAGGAAAGAATAACTGATAGCCATAGGAAGACCATTGAATCATTTTGTGACTTTAGTATAAGCCCAGAAAATTTGGGGATACTAGCTGAAACGGCAAATGTGTTATTGGCTCCTTGTTAGTGACCTATTGTACAATTTTTCCAACACAAGTTCCATGATCCTTTGAACTTGACTGCACCGTACTGATGAAGACCAATAGTCAGAAAAACGTGTCGACCGTTACTTCTTTTTTACTTTTTTTATTCGGAAAATGTCCACTATTACTACCTTGATACAATAATATTAGTTCCGTTCTAAGTAGGTACATATTATAGTTTGTATGTTTTATGCTTTATTTTATTATATGTAATAAATGATAGGAAATATACTTTTATAGTAAATAAATTGATTAAAGCAATATGTAAGAATAAGTTTATCTAAGGATTAAATTGTTATAGCAATTTTTCATATCCATTGTTTATTAATTTGTTTCATTTAATTCTTTCTTATTGAGTTAGTTATTTCATATAAATATGCGATACTTGTAAAATGTAATATTTTCTTTTAAATAGGTATATATTATGTTCGTATAAAATATTGTTCAGTTAATAAAAACAGAAATATTTTGTCTTTTATTCAAAAGAAGTTTGTAAATTTTTCAAAATATATTTACCTACCCCAAAAAAAGATTAATAAAACCAGTTAGTCATATACACATTTTCTATATTTATAGAGGTACTTTTTAAATAACTTTCAATACATTCGAAATCTGTGGTTTTATTAAACTCAATGTAACAAATAATAATAGGTATTCTCAAAAATATTTAAAAATAAAATCGAGATGGGACTCTTGTATAATTTAGTGACTATTCGCCTATGGTTAGTGCACTGCTGTATGTCCCTGGGTTTTCTACATTAGAACAATACTGCTTCTCCACTCTAGCAGTATTTTTTGCATCTCAGATTATATTTATTAAAAAACCAAGGAATTGTTTTGGGCCTATTGCTGTGCCCTTTTCCAACATTCCCAAAGTTTTTTTTTTACTTTCTGCTGATTGGATCTCCGATAGCGACAACTCCATTTCTTGTTCCACTAGTTTTTTATCAAATTTTTAAAATAACTTCTATATATTTATCTTTTGCAATGACTTCGCTTACCTGCTTCATAATCTCTTCCCTATGCCCCAATTTCTCTAACAGGTGAGATCTTATACTCGCTCTATTAAATCATATTATCATTATAGTTTATTTGAAAATGCTTGGTAGCACAGTTTTTATGGCAAAGGTCCATATTTTTATATAATTTTGCTATTATTCATTTTCAAATAAACTATAGGAATAGGAGTAATCTATTAGTTTTTCTAAAAATACCTTGTTACCGATGTAAGTATATCTTTCCCTAGTTAAAAAATTCGAGTTTTTATTTTCATAATATAAATAAATGACCGGTTAACAATCACATTCTTTTAAATAGTACATTTGACATTGAAGTAGGTATTTTCTCCATATTGCCAAACAGAAACAGATGGTTTACTTGTAATTTGAATTATATTACATAAATCTCACTGAATTTCTCTATAATTCTCCTAGCAATATGTACACAAACCACTTATCCAATAATATATAACCATGTAAAAATAACATTTCAAGAACGAGAAATTTTATAAAACCGGTCCTGTCTGAACAGATCTAGGAAAATCAAATAGGTTTGTCAAAGTTTTGTTCTTAATTTGAAATTAGAAATTGTGCGTCTCACTCACTTATAACTAATAACAAAGTGCAGATTATCGGTGTTGACGTATTACAGAACACACAAACTAAAAATCAGTGTAGCCAAAACATAAATTTACCTAACATAAATTTACCTAACATGGCGACAAGCTTGAATGGGGTCATTTTTTTGTATTGACAGTATACGCCAAGCGGTATCTAGACTTTCTGAGGGCTATGCATGTGGCCTTTTACTTTTAAAACACATTAAGCTAGTTCACGGTCATCTAACACTACAAATAAATGGGTAGATAAGTAGATAAGCATTTTTAATTGTCCAGTCATCACATAAAAATATGAAGCGTTTACTTTTAGTTTTTTTATTAGTAGCCAATATATATTTCTGCACCAGTAATGAAATAGTAAAAGCCAGATTAGAGGTAAATATCCCAAACATAACCTAAAATTATCTAGCATTTATTTTAAATTTATACAATGTTCCTTTGTGTAGAGTTGTCCTGGTTGTTCACTAAACCGTCTACAGGATGTTAGAAAGTTTGCTTACGACGATTTGCCCAATTATGAAGGAGTGGATTGGAAAAAAATATCTGGGGCTCCGCCAGAATTGGTGTTTTTGAATGACAAGGAGGAGGAAGTCGAAAGGCATCCACTGAAGGATTTAAATAGAAAAGAGTGCAATGATCTGTTGCAGAGTAAAGGTTTCAGTCCAAATAATAAAGAATTATAAAATAATGTAGTTATTTAAAATGTACTTACAATAAAATGTATAAGGTAAAAAAGACTATCAAATTTATATATTGTAGTAGATATTATTATTATTTTTGTTAGCAATATTTGCATTTGGTAGATTAAAAAATCTGAATGTGTACATTTATAATGTAGAAATAGGATTTTAAAAAATATAATACTTATACAATTAAACTTGTTTTTATTGGTATTAAAATTAACGCGTTTGTGATTGTTCAAAATTTAAAATAAATATCAACTTAACTTGATAGCGAATGATAGTGACAGTTTGAAAACATGTAAACAGTGCAAAATATACATTTTTTAGAAAAAATACATAAACATGGTAAAATATACAAGCTTTTTTGACTAAATAATACAAATTTTATAAGTAATTGTATTTAAATATATTTTTAAAGCTGTTTAATAAATGTATGCAGAAGAATTTATGAAAATAGCTCAAATGTACCTTCTGTAAATTTTATCCAAAAAGTTTCACAAAAAGTTGAAGATATACAAATAACGATTATGCCTCATTATATTTTAACTCAGTAGTACTTTAATTAAATTTGATACAGGTGTACTTTATATTCAATTCTAGGGTATCTAAATGTACAAGTAAAGTTTTTTAAAAGTAGTTCAAATAAACCATTTATAAATTCAACCAGAAACACTTGAAAAATTCAAACAAAAACCAGATTAGTTTTGTAGTCATAAGAATGTTCTAAAGTGGGTAGTTCAAATGTACCTTTCTTTAATTTGATACAAGGGCACTTAATATTCAAAAGATAGGCTCCAAGTTTTTAGAATTTTAAATTTACCCAGAAACATTTGAATAATTCAAAAGAATAAAGTTACCTATATGTTCTAGTACGTTCTAAGTGAGTAGTTCAAATGTACCTTTCTCAAATTTGATACAGATGCACTTACTGTTCAAAAAGAACATTCCTAAAGATTATTCTCAGGCATCTAAATGTCCAAGTTAGGTTTTTAAAAAGTAGTTTAAATGAACCAATTATATATTCAACCAGAAAAACTTGAATAATTTTAAATAAAAACGGATTAGCTTTTTGGGTACAAGAATATGTTTAAGGTGAGTAAATTTGATACAGGAGCAATTAACTTTCCATACAAACTTTCCCAGAGATTATTTTGCGGCATCTAAATGTACAAGTTGTTTTTAGAAAGTAGTTCAAATGAACCAACTATAAATTCAACCAAAAACAATGGAATAATTCAAAAGAAAACCGAGTAAGTTTTTAGGTACCTATAAGAACATGTTCTAATGTTTTAAGCCAGTAGTTCAAATGTACCTTTCTTAATTTTGATACAGACATTTAATATTCGAAAGAAACGTCTCCAAATATAATGTTAGGTCATCTAAATGTCAAAAATTTTTAGAAAGTAGTTCAAATAAACCAGTTGTAAATTCAACCAGAAACACTGAAATAATTTAAAATAAAAACAATTTGTTTATAATGCACAAGAATGTGTTCTACTATGTTTTAGGTTAGTAGTTCAAACGTATCTTTCTTAAATTTAATACAGGAACACTTAATATTCCAAAGACATTTTCCCAGAGATTATTTTAGGGCATTTAAATGTCCTAAATTGAGTTTTTAGAAAGTATTTCAAATAACCTAATTGTAAATTCGCCCAAAAACATTAAATAATTCAAAAGAAAACTTAAATTAGTTTTAAGGTTCCTATAAGAATGTTCTAGTATATTTGAAGCAAGTAGTTCAAATGTACCTTTCTTAAAATTGACACAGGAGCATTTATTATTAAAAAAGTTTCCAGAGATTATCTTACAGCATCTAAAGTTTTTATATAGTAGTTTAAATTAACTAATTGTAAATTCAACCAGAAACACTGGAATAATTCAAAATAAAAACAGATTTGTTTATAATGTACAAGAATGTGTTCTACTATGTTTTAGGTGAGTAGTTTAAATGTATCTTCCTTAAATTTGATATAGGAACACTTAATATTCCAAAGAAACTTTCCCAGTGATTATTTTAGGGCATTTAAATGTCCCAAGTTGAGTTTTCAGAAAGTAGTTCAAATGATCTAATTGAAAATTCGCCCAAAAACATTAAATAATTCAAAAGAAAACTTAAATAAGTTTTGAGATACCTATAAGAATATGTTCTAGTATATTTTAAGTAAGTAGTTCAAATGTACCTTTCTTCAATTTGATACAGGAACACTTAATATTGAAAAAAGTTTTCAGAGATTATTTTAGGATATCCAAAGTTTTTTTATATTAGTTCAAATTAACTAATTGTAAATTCAACCAGAAACACTGGAATAATTCAAAATAAAAACAGATTTGTTTATAATGTACAAGAATGTGTTCTAATATGTTTTAGGTGAGAAGTTCAAATGTATCTTTCTTAAATTTGATACAGGAACACCTAATATTCCAAAGAAACTTTTCCTGTGATTATTTTAGGGCATTTAAATGTCCCAAGTTAAGTTTTCAGAAAGTAGTTCAAATGACCTAATTGTAAATTCGCCCAAAAACATTAAATAATTCAAAAGAAAACTTAAATTAGTTTTAATGTTCATATAAGAATATGTTCTAGTATATTTTAAGCGAGTAGTTCAAATGTACTTTTCTTAAATTTGACACAGGGGCACTTAATATTGAAAAAAAAGTTCCCAGAGATTATTTTAGAGCATCCAAAGTTTTTATAAAGTAGTTCAAATGAACTAATTATTGTAAATTCAACTAGAAACACTAGAATACAGTTTTGTAGGCATTAACATGTTTTAATATGTTTTAAGTGAATACTTTGATGTACCTTTCTTAAATTTGAAACGGAGGCACTTACTATTAAAAAGAAATGTTCCCAGAGATTAAGGGGATTTAAATGTCCAAGTTGAGTTTTCACCTAAAAAAATTGAATAATTGCAAGGAAAACTAAAATTACGTTTTTAAGTACCTATAAGAATATAATCTAGTATGTTTTAAGAGAGTAGTTCAAATGTATCTTTCTTAAATTTATTAAAATTATATTAAAAAAAAACATTCCCAGGGAATATTTTAGAGCCTTTAAATGTCCCCTGTTAAGTTTTTAGAAAGTAGTTCAAATGACCTAAACGTAAATTCGCCCAAAAACATTTTAAGATTAGCTTTTTAGACACCTACAAGAATAAGTTCTAGTATGTTTTATGTGAGTAGTTCAAATTACTGTATTTTAAATTTGATAAGAGCGTGCTTAATATTTACTAAAAATGTTACCAGAGATTCTTTTAGGGCATCTAAATATCCACGTAAAAGTTTTTAGAAAGTAGTTCAAATGAACCAATTAAAAATTCAACCACAAACACTGGAATAATTCAAAAGAAAAACTGAAATTACTTTAGCAAGCGTAAGGATATGTTTTAGTATGTTGTAAGGTGGTAGTTCAAATAATGTACCTTACTTGAATTTAATAGAGGAGCACAATTAATATTCAAAAGAAAAGTTTTCAGAGATCATTTTAGGGTATCTAGAAAGTAGTTCAAAAGAAACAATTGTAAATTTAACCAGAAACACTGGAATTATTCAAAATAAGAACAGATTAGTTTTGTAGGCAAAATAATGTTTTAGTATGTTTTAAGTGAGTAGTTCAAATGTACCTTTCTTAAATTTAATACAGAGGCGCTTAATATTCAAAAGAAATAGGGTAGCAAAAAAGTCTGCCAACAAGGTATTTATTTTTAAAATTGTAGAGTGATGAAAGGAAGATTAAAATTTCCAGTATTTTAAAATATCTTAATGTTCCTAGGAATATTTTAGGCAAGTAGTTCAAATGTATCATTCATAAAATTCAACCAGAAATGCTTAAATAAACCATTAAAATTATGAGATTAGTTTTAAACCAAAAATTCAAGTTTTTTTTGAGAATTTAATTTTAAAAGTATTTATGTTCCCTAGTAATATTAAATAAAATGAACTTACCATAAAAGGTCCATGGCTCTGACATTGAGGACATGCATTGGGGTGAACTTCAGCATCCTGAGTCTGAGTAAAGGGGCCCATTATGAAACTACATTTTGAACAATCAAATTTAACTATAGAAAGTTGAGGCAACACCCCTGTGGTAGCCGTAACTACACCCAGCGTCCTTACTAACTGGTTCACATGAAGTTTTCTGCAAAAATCAAATTATTTTGTTAGTTTTTCCAAATAATAAATTCTGTAAAAAAACTAAGTTACCTAAACGTGCGTAGTTCTTCAATAAGCGGCAAATCAGAGATTCTAACATGAATTTCATCAGTAACTCTATCATAACTGGGATACATGGACAATACTATATCTTTAGCTACTGCATCAAAAGTTTCTAACATTTGAAATGGTGCTTCAGGCAAGAAATAAGCCAATACGTGTTCTTTGTGAGCCAAACTTGTAAATTCTACATTAAAACTTGACTGAAACATAAAAATTTATAAGTTATTATAAATTTAATAAAATATAAACTAAATCATACCTGGTTATTTTCACACATCCTCCTGATCTTATCTTTATACACATACTGCCCTTTACTATTGGTATACGTTCTCAAGAAGTTTTTGAATCTGTTAGCTATTTCAGTTTTAGGACCGATCATAATAACCCATTCCTTAATGGAATATCCTTTGGTGTCTTCCAAATTTTCAATAGACTCTATCATTTCAGTATCTACTTCTTCTCCTGCGGCAGCTTTCTCTGCATCTTTCCGTCTTCTTTGTCTGGGATCTTCAACATCATCAGCCTCATCGTAGAACAGTTCTCTTTCATCTCTTCTTGTAATACCCAATTCTCTGTCTCTTCGCCGTAATTCCTGTTCAGCAGCAAGCCTTTCGCCTACGGACATTTGATCATAATCGTCTTCGTCTAAAATGCGGTCGTCGTAATGGTCCAAATGCGGCATGGGGCGATAATCACTGCAATTTAAGATATATTATTTATCTACCTGAAAAATAGTAATAATTTCATTATTACTTTTCCATGTTATCTCCAAAGAGTTCTTCTCCATCTTCCTCCTCCATATCAGGCTCTATGTCGCCAAGTAAGGCCCCTTCGTCTTCAAAAGGTTCTAAATCGGGCCCTGGTGAGGACATGTTTGAACGAGGTGTAGGCATTGGTGAATCTTCAGGCTAAAATTAATATACTTGTTAATAGAAATCGGATTATCTAGGCTTTAGTGGACTTACCCTTTGAGACATGTTTGTTATATTGATAAATCTTTGCGTTTAAGAATATTATACAAATTTGCTACTATGTAGGTATTTTTATGGTTCGTCTGTTAATAGGGACAATGATATATCAATTCCTTAGTTGTTCGGCACCTTGTAATATAAAATATATAAAAAAAACACAATACTACAGCAGAAATCACTCTTGAATATTTCTGTTATGTTAAGCATTGGCTTTGGCGCCAAAATCTGATTTGCCAGTTGTCAACCTATAAAATAAATCGATGTTGCCAGATTGCTGATCCTTACACCAGCAAAGATATTCTTGTTCGCTCTGCGAACTAGACAAGTTCAGGGCCGGCCCCAGGGTAGGGCGACCCGAGCGGCCGCCCGGAGCGCAATGATCTAAGGGCGCCAAAATCATGGAAAATTAAAATAAACTGATAAAAAAAATTAAATTACAGGCTTTTATAAAATGCACTAAAAAGTAAAGAATATTTTTTTCATCATTCTGATATCATATCAATAAATTAATTTTCATAATATTGCATTTTCATCGGACCCTTGAAAGTATACCAAATTTCATTGAAATCGGTTCACGGGAATTTTCTCAAAAACGCGTTGCAAGATTTGACTGATAGTTGACAAAATTAAGAGTCGGCAGGCGGAATTTATCATTTTTATTTCTAAGCAAGCACATAATTCAAATAATATATTTAAACAATAAGGCAAAATCTAGTTGAATTCAATTCAACATGACAAAACCACTCAACCACCGCCTTTCAAGAATTGACAAGTTTTTCGGCCCGTGACACGACTGGGGACCTATTTTCAAACCGTGTGAGTACTCATTTCTCTCAAGATTTCAGGAGAAATGTTGTATGTCAACGTGGAAACCCATGGTGGAAACTGTATTTTGAAAACCAGTGACTACCTCATGACTATTCACTGACCTTTTCTCTCGGTTTATTTCGAGAGAATTCATATTCTCAGTAGAATTTGACCACGTGATTAGGTGCATGTGTACCCGCTTCCTCCATGTGTGTACCCATAACCGATGTGTGTACAAGGCCAAGTCACATACTACCTTTCTCTCGATAGAGCACTCCTTTCTCTCAATAGAGCACTCCTTTCTCTCGAGTTTGAAAATAACCCCCCTGTACAGGAAACAATTTTGAAACCAAGCGAAACAAGATCTAACCAGGGTTACCAATCGTCCGTCATTATGACGGACAGTCCAGCATTTAAATAGTGTGTCCGTCAGTCCGTCAAAGCATAGTTTATAGCTTTGTCCCAACATCTCACAAAACCGTAATATTACGGTCATCGTCATGCGCAGTAAATAAAAACCGTTCGACTTTGGGCTTTACTGATAGGTTTTTATTTACTGCGCATGACGATGACCGTAATATTACGGTTTTGTGAGATGTTGGGACAAAGCTATTGACTGTCCAGGTCGCCCAGATCATATTCGTAATTTGTTAGGATTGTAATTTACGAATTATCACACAAATTGATTATATTTATTAAATTTATGGGATACTGCTAAAAGCACAACGATTTTTTTTTTAGTAGTTCTGTTCATTTTTTTGTTTTTTTTTTAGTTCTTTTAATTTTTTTTAGTTGTTTCATTTTTTTTTATTTCTGTTTGAAATTTGTGACATAGGTATTCTTTTTTTGTACCTTAAATAAAAACTTTGCGATTATCTATTTATTTGTAAAAACACCTCAAACTATTTTTACCAAAATTAGGTACGGATTTCTTAAAAAATAGGTAATTTTGATTAAAAGAATGAAAATGGACTGAGTTGTTTTTATTTCCCTTTATTTTCCCTAAAATCCCCTGTCTGTCCGTCATATCTGTTTCAAAAACCTGGTAACCCTGGATCTAACAGCCCTTTTTAACTGCATATAAAAAGGAAGTAGACTTAAAACAATGCAATATTTGCCACTAGACTTCGGCTGGTGCGAAATAAAATAGTTTGTTTAAATTGTTAGTGCAAAAAAATCTTTAAAAAAGTGCTTGTGCAAATTGTCCAGTGCGTTTGGCTTCTGTGAAGGTAAGTGTTTTAATTTTTGTTTTCATTTTTAAAAACTAAAAAATCCATCAGACATAAGCCCAAAAAAGGATGGAGGTAGATTTCAAAAATTAGAGTTTAGATCAAAACATGGCTTGTGTGGTATCAAATGAAAGATAATCGAGTCTGGAGTTGAACAAAATGCGTTTTATTTTTTTAAGCCAGTGGCGCACAAGGGGGATTTCAAAAATTAGAGTTTACATCAAAAAATGGCTTGTGTGGTATCAAATGAAAGTTGATATAACCTGCAGTTGAATAAAATTTATTTTATTTTTGTAAGCCAGTGACGCACAAGGGAGGGGGATTTCAAAAATTGGAGTTTACATGAAAAAAACAACGAACATTTTTTGGGTTTTCTCCCCAATGAGAGATCAACAGCTAAGGAATTGTCGGAGGTTTTACTAGAAGAGCTAGAGAAAAATAGACTTGAAGTAGAAAACATAATGGTTCCAATATGAGAAGAGAAAAATCGGGAGTACAAACAAGAATCAGAAATATAAACCCCAGAGCATTTTATGTTCCATGCAGTAGCCATTCGCTAAATTTGGTTGTAAATGATATGGCAAAATCCTCGTTTGACGCAGCCAACTTCTTCAATATTGTTCAAAAGTTATATACATTTTTTTCTTCCTCTTCTTTTCATTGGGCAATATTACTGAAATATATTGATACACCCTAAAACCATTGAGTGATACGCGACGCGAAAGTCGAGTCGACCCATTAAAAGCTCTGCGGTTTCAAATTGGTCCAATTCACGATGCTTTGTACAGCATATATATGAAAATTCAGAAATCGATAATATGATCAGAGACGAGGCTAGCGGATTATTAAATAATTTGAAGTAGTTTAAGCAGTTTTTATATGCTCTGTTGTGATCTGGTACAAAATTTTGAGTCGTATTAACCCCATCAGTAAACTTTTGCAAACTAAATTTTAATATGTCATAAGCTATTGATATGCTTAGGACCGATTCCACCGTTGTGTTAAACGAAGTTTAAAATGACATTTTTACATTAACACCGTCATTTTAATCTCCGTTTAACACAACGGTGGAATTGACCCTTAGCAACTGCAAACTCTTTGAAAACCTTAGATCAGATGAAGCTTTTGAAAGCATCATTTTAGAAACAACCGAGCTTGCTCCAGAGATTGACGTGGAAGCTAATTTCGAAACCACCACACCACGTCATCGTGTCAGAAGCAAAACAAGAACGTTTTTGTATGAGGACCCGGATGAACCCGTTCAAGATCTCAAACAAAAATATAAAATAGATTTTTTTTTCACACTATAGATCAAGCAATAAATGCCTTGGAAACCAGATATAATTTGCTAAATACAATTTTAACTGATGGAAATTCAAGCGATCTTAACGCCCTGGAACTAGCCGATAAAATAAAATGTTTCGTCATTATTAACAAAAAAGTTAGAAAAAGGGCATTTTAATTACTTTGGTTAGTTAGAATTTATTTATAATATGGGAAAGTGCTAAGGGCCGATTCCACCATCGTGTTAAACGAAGATTAAAATGACATTTTTACATTAACAATGTCAGTTTAATTTTCGTTTAACACAACAGTGGAATCAGCCCTTAATTGCTTATCTTGTTATCTGATGATTGAGTTTTTAATTAAACGTTTTTTTTTCAATGTTTTCTTGACTTTCTGATGCATGAGATTTACTTTAAAAAACGGGGGGGAGGGGGGGGGGGGCGCAAAATTAAAGTTTTGCTCAGAGCGCCAAAATGTCTAGGGCCGACCCTGACACGTTACATCTAACATCTATATAGGAGGTGACTTTTTAGTAATTTATTAAAAATTTGTTCGATACATAAGAAAATTACAATAAACTAGTATAAAAAACAGAATTTTAAACAAGATGAAAGGAAAATTCTGAAAACAAGAAAAATCCAAGAGATCTTCTGGTAAAATGAAAATCTGGAAACAGTGTTTCAAATGTCAGAATGTCTTGAACATCTACTTCTTTTTTAATATGTCAAATCTTCTCTTCACCATAGATCTTACGTTTATTGTAATGGTATCCAGAGAGCGAAACTTGGTCCTTTACTTTGTTAGGCAGGCGGCAAATTCCAAGGAAATTTTAGATTTTAAACTTGATCAAAACACATACCTCATGATTTAAATATTTATAAAGTTATTTGCATCTTGATTTATAATCTAACTTTGATATAACCCAGAGATAAATAAATTAAAAAACATAACCTAATTTTATATTGTACATTCTGTACTGCGAAAATTATTTAATTTTTGAACTATACTCCAAAAAGAATTTGATATTATTTAGCATTCGTTAAAATGGCTGAAGAAAAAGCCATTATTTATTTAGATTTCGGTGGTAAATTAACAAGCGACACGTTCGATAAAGACGTTTTTATCCGTATAGCCAATCTTCACAAAAAGAATCCTCTTGTTCAAGTAAACGATGGAGTTTATAAAGGTAACTATATCTAAATAATATAAATTTATTTACAATGATTTATTGTTGCAATGTAAAGCTACATTTGTTAATAACTAACAAGGGTTCTCAAGGGGGAAAGGGAAAGTCTGCAACTACTAACTTCGTTTCGTATAAAGTTACTCTATTAGATGTCTTGAAGAATGGTAAACATGTCGATGCTGTCTATACCGATTTCTCGGCGTTTGACAGAGTTAAACATAAGATACTTTTAATGAAGTTGTGGTCAATTGGTTTTCATGGTTCACAAAGTTATAACATCTTGCATTATATAAGCTATTTTAAACTGCTATCAGCTTTGTTAAATAAAGGAGATATAATAACATCTGAGCTGTTTAGATATGAGTAAAGGATCAGGTCCTGATGGCTTGTCACCTTCCTTATTGAAAACTTGTTGTTTTGTTATATCCCGTCCATTGCATATTATCTTTAATGTTTCGCTTTATAATGGAATGTTTCCTAATTACTGGAAATCAAATTTTACCGTACCGATTTACAAATCAAGCGACAAATCAAATGTAACTAATTACAGGCCAATATGCATTCAAAGTGTGATTCCTAAACTCTTTGATAGTATTATTACAAAGTATTTATTGAAACTGCTTGATCCTTTCATCATAGATCAGCAGTTTGGTTTCCATTCCAAAAAGTCCACTGAACTTAACCTGTTGTCTTATGTTGATTACTTATTGAATGCCTTGGATTCTAATGATTAAGTTCATGTTATATACACTGATTTTTCAAAGGCATTCGACAGGGTTAACCACAGTTGCTTGATTGGAAAGCTTAGTAACATTCTGGCTTTACCGCTACATCTGGTGTCCCTCAAGGGTCACATTTGGGACCTCTACTTTTTAATATATATAACAATGACATCCAAAATTGTTTTAAGAATTCTCAGTTCCTTTGCTTTGCTGATGATTTAAAATTATTCATGTGTGTAAATTCCTTACATGATTGTATTTGACTTCAAAAAGACTTGGATAACTTGGTCCAACGGTGTAGTACTAATGGAATGGAATTAAATACAAGTAAATGTCATGCAATCAATTTCAACAGAAAACAGTCCTATTGAATATATCTATAAAATCAATGACATAACACTGGATACTATTACAGAGGTAAAAGATTTGGGTGTGATATTAGATTCTACCCTTTCTTTTCAAACTCATATAACGGCCTCAGTTAATAAAGCATTAAGAATGTTGGGTTTCCTTAGAAGAAGTACTTTTGATTTTCATAATGTGATGTGTTTAAAGATTCTTTATTGTGCCTTAGTTAGACATATTGAATATGCTTCTTCTGTATGGAATCCTTTTTATGTATATCTATTCCATAATATAGAACAGGTTCAAAGAAAATTTTTATGCATTATTGCATTTAAATCGGGTATCGTCCCGGTCAACTTCAGATACAATTATGACGAATTACACACACTGTCATCTTGAGACCCTTCTGAGCAGAAGAAACCAAAGGGATCTTAAAATATTGTTTAACATTATTAACTCATCTGCCGATTGTCCCTACTTGTTATCCCAAATTGGATTTTCTGTATCCTCTAGAGCAGCTCTACTCAACCTTTTTTTCTTTTGGGCCACATAAATTTGTTTGTTATGCTACACGGGCCACAAGATTTTTGGGCGATAGAGTTGCCACCTTTTTGAAATGCAAATAAAGGACAATGGGTGACGATAGGGATCCGCTTTAAATTTTTTCTAAAAAAAAAAAGGTCCTCACATTGTTTTAGTTTACATACTTTATAAAAAAAAAACATTTCAATTACTCATAATCGTGTTTGAGGCTGCACAAAAAAGCTTGAAAGGCTGTAAAAAAAGCTTGGAGGGCCGCAAAAAATAACTTGGAGGGCCGCAGGTTGAGTATGGCTGCTCTAGAGTAACTAGGAATATTAATTCATTCTCCCAACCTTCCCATAGAACAAATTATGATTCTCACTCTTTTATTCCTAGAGTGACAAAATCTGCTAACAGACTAAATGTAGAAAGGATTACTTCTCCATCAGATTTTTTTAACCAGTTATGTATATGTGAGGAGTAGATTTTTAATATTTATGTATTTAAATTAATTTATTATTTAAGATTTTATTACTATTTAATGTATGTAATATGTATTCTCTATAATTGTATTGTTTTAATGGACTCTGACCCGTAAATAAATAAATAATCTGTATAAAAAATACAAATCTTTTTAGGTACATACGACTACGCTTTAGGCACAAATCTATTTTTCGAAGCGAATAAAGAGAACCCCAAACAAAACGATATATTCATTAAAAGAAGTCAGATTCAATATGAAAACACCTACACTACAGCTAAAATCATCGATTTGCAACCAGTAAAGGTACCGCCACGAAAAGTACAAGTCTCATCCGATAAAAAGCTCGAATTTAATTTAAATTGGGATTACAGAAGGTTGCTAGAGAAGTTTTCTGATGGCACATTAAAATTACAAGATATTTTAAAAGATGGTAGAAAACTTGACGAAACTGATGAATCAGAAGATGGGGAAGAAGACGAAAAAATGATTTCTTTAGAAGAAAATGATAATCAAACTAATGGGAAAATTGATGAAAACATTTCAGATGCATTGGAGGACGAAGGTAGGTGTTCTATGGATGAAGCAACAAATGTGCCTATGGATATACTCGAGGACTATCAGAAACTTAGACAGCTGGCTTTTAGGCCAGTAAAAATGCCTGCGAAGCAAGAAAAGTTGCAAGAATGCGATCCTAAATACCGTGGGGCATATGAGTATCATAATCTTGAACGTCAGGTAATTATACACATTTTCCATTACTAAATTATATGTATAACTCCTTAGAAAATCCAAGAGATGGCGTTTGTAGTATTACTACTAACTAGACAGCTGACAAAGTATTACATATCTATCACATGGTTTCATTTTTATTGTCGATTGAAGCAAGAAACGTTTGGTTATTTAGAAATCATGGAAATAAAGTTATAATTATTACATTATCCACCCTATTCACCAGATTTGACCTCCAGTGACTTTTTAATATCCAAACTTAATAAAATTAGTTCTAGCTAAAATGTTTTTCTATCTTTTTCTAAGTATTTAACGACTCTATAATCACTACATCATTGTATTTACAGATTTTGCAACCATGTGACTACTTCCGCACCGAACCCGTTGATGATATTAACGAAGAAACCCTGTCAAATTGCGTAGACATTGATAGATGTATTCTTTACGGATTGATAGATAAATCTGTAGTAAATCGGAAGATACTTACGAAAGAAGAAAAGCAAACGTTATTAAGCTTGGATAACTTCGATAATTTGTCTTTGGCCGGCAGATATTACGTGTTAAAAAACCACGTTGACGATTTGGAAGATTATTTGAAGAATAGGACTGAAGATGAACTTAGCAGTAGAGATGCTTATGGTAGAACGCCGGTTGAAACTTTGGAGGTTTATAGACGGTTAAGTGAAGCTGTTAAGAAGAGAATTGAAGAGATTAAATATAGTACATTAGATGATCATAAAGATAACAGTAAAGAACGGAAAATAGATTGTATAGAGAACGATTGATTGATTTGTATATTTGGGTTATAATCGTTAAAAATTACATAAGTAGGTTTTGTATAAAACTGCTTAAATCTATTTACAGATAAATAAAATATATTTATAGTCACTAATTTTTTTCTTAATTATATCTTAGAGCCGAAATTCAACTGTTCTTATCCAGGAAATAAAGTTTCAACCTCTGCTCTACTTAAACGTAATAGATTCTAAATTTGGAAAACATTTCGTTAGCAACTACTATCCTTTAAGCAGTTCCCCTGTATTGGTCCAAAAGTATTTGTCTTGAGGCAAGCACCCTTCGTCTGGGAGTACCATTCGGATTATTTGTTCAACCAGTCTGAAAACCAAAGCGCCATCTACGCTAATTTCACACACTAACTAATGTTAAACCGATCAATAACTCAGATTCGACGTTCTGTCTCCTGATCGTAGTACTTGGATATTTTATTTTCCCCTCGGTGGGCCCAGCGAGGCGTTTAGAATACCGTTTAATTTATTTTTGAATTATTTAATGACTATTATATAGGGGGGTACCGTTATTACCGTTTTATTTCTTTTGCACTATTTTATTTATATTGTTTAACTTTTGTGATTAAATTAATTAATTAATTGAAAAATCTAGTTTATTTTCTATTATACAGGAAGTGCCGTATCTCCGTTCGTTTTATTTCGAGGTACCGCAGGGAACGTGTGAGGTAGTATAGTTTTATTTGCCTTATTGGTTAGGTAAAACAGGAAGGCCTGTCACATAACTATTAAAAGAAATATCAGGGGATGTTTAACTTGCGATGATATCCACATTTATTCACAAAAAAGGAAATTCGAATCGCCCTATATTACACATAGATTCCCCTTGTAATGTCAGAAAATAAAACACATGATCACTTGTTTTAAAACTCAATTATTAATAAAATTACATTCTGTATAAAATATTGGTTTCTTATAAATTATATTGATTCGCTTTTCTAAAATTAATTATTTTATATAAAAATGATTGTAAACAAAAGTTGATCATAAAATATATTTAATCTGACTGCTCTTCGTCCGATGGAAACGCTTCTAATTCGGGTGAAGTAAGTTTCGTACCCTTCAAATAATTCATCTTCAGTAACTCTTTCGCAGTCTTTCTCTTCGAAGGGTTGTACGTCAACATATGCTAAAAAAAATTAAATACGCATATTTTTTAATTTTTAACCTCCCAAGACATACCAGTATGAAATCTTCCTCTTCCTGATTGTGAAATCTAATGATGTCGCTTAGATCGATTGCTTTCCATGTGGGGAAAGTCGGTTTGTAATCGGGATACAATGAAACGCCTTCCCAATTTTCTTCAGTCGGCGTTCCCATGATCTTGAATATTTTGTACATTTGATCTATTTCGGAATCGCCCGGGAACAACGCTTTTTTCGTTAACTATAATGTTTAGTATTTAAATAAATCGTGGGCATTCTGGCAAAAGTTTTAAGTCCAGTTTAATAATTTTTTAGTTAATATTTTCCAGCAACTATTCAAAGAGACATTTTTTAACTGGTGAACTTCCTAAAGTTGACAAAAATATGAACAACTGCTCATATTCACAAAACTTTTACCAGAACATCCACAAAATACAACAATAGGCTTCTACTGACTCTTTTTCTGATTACTGCATATTAAAATTAAATAAATCTAAATATGTGTCACTTCTACAGTTAACATAATCCCCATTTCCAATCCAAATTTATTTAGATCACAATTGAAGATTTGTGCATCAGTGATCGTTGATAAATATATTTACCATTTCAGCCATGATGCATCCCAAACTCCAAACGTCAATTCCGGGACAGTACATCTTCGTGCCCAACAACAATTCCGGTGCTCTGTACCAAATGGTGATAACCTCGTGAGTGTAGGTTCTAGTCGGTAGCGAAAAAGACCTCGATAACCCGAAATCCGCTAATTTGATGTGTCCCTCGCGGTCCACCAGTAAATTTTGAGGTTTCAGATCGCGGTGGAGGATCCTGTGCGAATGTAAATACGCCAAAGCGTCTAATAGTTGTCTCATGTAACTCTATGAAATAAATAATTCTATTTAAATGGAACCAATAAGGTTTTACAACAGGGTTCTCAATCATAGACTACTAGGAATCAGTTAAAGAGATGATATCACTAACAATGTAATTTTTTAATCAATTACTCTTTTTGAATAAACTTTTAGATAATAAAGTGGACTGTATTAAGTTCATGAAATAATATATCGTTCCTAGACCAAGACTACGAATTACTGTATGTTTTCAATTAGTTTCTGTTAGGACTAACATCCTATCTTAGCAAATTCATCAAATGGTCAAAATTTATCATTATCTGGAGGATCGCTTAGATATATTTTGTACTAACCCAAAAAAAAATCAATTCTTAATGGAAATTAGTATTTGAATTAACATTTTAATTTTAACATATATTTGTCTTCCTTTATGTATCTTTTGTGTTGACAATGAATCATCATGATTTTTGAAAGCAAGTTAAAAAATAGAAACCCAAAAGTAACTTTAATACGCAATTTTTAACTGATAATATTTTAATACCAATTTGTTTCTAAACGTCTTAAATTGATAAACATAAATATATATACCCTGAGCAACTCGGCTTCCATAGGTCGTTTAACACTGTCAATGTATTTCTTTAGATCTAAATCTAAGTATTCAAATACAAGATATAGTTTGTCTGTCGTTTGCATGACATCTAGAAGTTCGACAATGGACGAATGTCTGAGACCTTTCAGTAAACTGATTTCACGAATTGCGGTAGGTGGTACGCCCTCTGAGTCTCCTTTGTGATAAAATCTGAAAGATATTTACAAATTGTAGACATTGTTTCAAATATGTTTTTCGAATTTGATATTCAATTAGAAAAAAAATCTACAGAGTGGTTTTATGGAATTTGAAGACGTAATGGGTAAACAGTAGGAACAGGATAAATGTCAGTTATAAAAAATAGTCTGAATACAGGGTGAACAGTCAGTATAACGCCTTGACCTGTAGAGCCAAAACTATTTTATGTTTTCACAGATGGGATGGATAATTCCCAGCTTGAACCTATAATGGGTAATAATTTGTTTATTGTTCTGCTTGATGCCGAGTTTAGTGATGACACAGTATATAGGTATAAAGAATATATTCATTTTTTTTAAAGCGTTTTGCAAAATGCTTTAAACTATATTAAAATATAGCTGGTATTCTATTTAAAATAAAGTATTTTTATTGTTTACAACTACTTACAATAAATATCTATTTCGTAAACACCCTGTACAATAATTTTGATCAGAAAGTATTTAAATTTACCTTAAAACAAATTAGGATTTGAAATATAAAGAAATTTGGGACCTATTTGAACACCACATATTTTTATATAACTCTTTACATAGTTACACTATTATTTCCATGTAGATTTCAAAAATGCAATAAACTACAGGGTGTCCCACTTTTTTAAAATCTAATTTTGATAAAAAATAAAAATTGACCGAAAATACCAAGGAAGTTTTTATTTATATAAAATTCTACTAGGGTCAGCAAGTTATCCTTATTCAAACAACAGAGTATCATCTGAAAACTACCTGCAACATGAGACATATCATCAATATAAAGAAGGAACAATATTGGGCCCAATTTGCTTCCCTGGAGGACACCTAATTCATTTTTTTGTTGTTTTTCGCAACTGTGTTCACCCCAAAAGCCTGATTGATTACTATTAAACATATTATTGTCTTCCAGATAATGAATTAGTTGATTTATATACTACTTTCGCTAAAAAAAATTCTACTGGACATAACATATTAATAGGGCGTAAGTCCACTGCCCTATTTGAATTCTCAATATTTTTTTTGTGTGCAAAATTTTTTACAACTCAAAACCTTTAATTATTGGATTACTTATGAGCTGACTGCCACTATTAACCTATTTATATTAATTTCAAAATCGAATGTTTCATCAATAAGGTGTGTTTCAGAGAAGCACATTAGTAATGGTTTTTTTTTTATGTAACTAAAGCTGAAACTTCATCAAAATAACATATTAAACTTTGAGCATTAAATGATAAAATTAAATAGGCAAAGATTTTATAATGTGCAAAATATACATTTTTAGAAAAAAATTACATAAACATGGTAAAATATACAAGCTTTTTGACAAAATAATACAAGTTATTGTAATTATATATATTTTTTAAGCTGTTTAATAAATGTATGTGGAAGAATTTATGAAAATAGTTCAAATTTTATCCAGAAAGTTTCATGAAAAGTTGAAGATATACAAATAACGATTGTGCCTTATTATATTTTAACTCATTAGTACTTTAATTAAATTTGATACAGGCGTACTTTATATGCAATTCTAGGGAATCTAAATGTACAAACAAATAAAGTTTTTTTAAAAGTAGTTCAAATAAACCATTTATAAATTCAACCAAAAAATTCAAATGAAAACAGATTAGTTTTGTAGTCATAATAATGTTCTAAAACATTTTAAGTGAGTAGTTCAATTGTACCTTTCTTTAATTTGATACAAGGGCACTTATTATTTCCAAATATTATTTTAATGCATCTAAATATCAAAATTTTTAGAAAATAGTTGAAATAAACCATTTATAAATTCAACCAGAAACATTTGAATAATTCAAAAGAATAAGGTTACCTATTATATTCTAGTACGTTCTAGGTGAGTAGTTCAAATATACCTTTCTCAAATTTGATATAGATGCACTAACTATTCAAAAGAAACAAGTCAGGTTTTTAGAAAGTAGTTCAAATGAATCAATTATATATTTGACCAGAAACACTTACATAAAAACAAATTCGTTTTTTAGGTACAAGAACATGTTTTAGGTGAGTAGTTCAAAGGCATCTTTCTTAAATTTGATACAGGAGCAATTAATTAGATTATTTTGCGGCATGTATAAAGTACAAGTTATGTTTTTAGAAAGTAGTTTAAATGAACCAACTATAAATTCAACCAAAAACACTGGAATAATTGAGAAGAAAGCTGAGATTAGTTTCTAGGGACCTATAAGATGTTTTAATACGTTTTAAGCCAGTAGTTCAAATGTACCTTTCTCAAATATGATACAGTGGCATTTAATAATCGAAAGAAACATTCACAAAAATTATTCTAGGGCATCTAAATGTCAAATTTTTTTAGAAAGTAGTTCAAATAAACCAAGTTGTAAATTCAACCAGACACACTAGAATAATTCAAAATAAAAACGATTTGTTCATAATGTACAAGAAAATGTTCTACTTTGTTTTAGGTGAGTAGTTTAAACGTATCTTTCTTAAATTTGATACATGAACACTTAATATTCCAAAGAAACTTTCCCAGAGATTATTTTATTATGTCCCAAATTGAGTTTTCAGAAAGTAGTTCAAATGACCTATTTGTAAATTCGCCTAAAAATATTAAATAATTCAAAAGAAAACTTAAATTAGTTTTTAGGTACCTATAAGAATATGTTCTAGTATATTTTAAGCAAGTAGTTCAAATGTACCTTTCTTAAATTTGACACATGAGCACTTAATATTAAAAAAAAATCCCAGAGATTATTTTAGGGCATTCAAAGTTTTTATAAAGTAGTTCAAATGAACTAATTATATATTCAATCAGAAACACTGAAATAAAGTTTTATAGGCTTTAAATTGTTTTAAGTGAGTACTTCAAATGTACCTTGCTTAAATTTGAAATAGAGGCAGTTAATATTAAAAAGAAATATCCCCAGAGATTAATTAAGGGTATTTAAATGTCCCAAATTGAGTTTTCAGAAAGTAGTTTAAATGACCTAATTGTAAATTCACCCAAAAACATTTGAATAATTCCAAACAAAACTAAGATTATGTTATTAAGTACCTATAAGAATATATTCTAGTATGTTTAAGCAAGTAGTTCAAATGCATCTTTCTTAAATTTGATAGAGGCACTTAATATTCCAAAAAACGTATCCAGTGAATATTTTAGGGCATCTAAATGTCTAAGTAAAGGTTTTAAAAAGTAGTTCAAATGAACTAGTCATAAATTCAACCAGAAACACTGGAATAATTCAAAAGAAAAACTTAGATTACTTTAGCAAGAGTAAAAATATGTTTTAGTATGTTGTAAATCAGTAGTTCAAATGTACCTTTCTTAAATTTGATTGAGGAGCACTAAATATTCAAAAGAAAAGTTCCCAGAAATTATTTTAGAGCATCTAGAAAGTAGTTCAAAAGAATCAATTGTAAATTCAACTTGAAACACTGGAATAATTCAAAAATTCAAACAGATTAGTTTTGTAGACATAAGAATGTTTTAGGTGAGTAATTGAAATGTACTTTTATTAAATTTAATACAGTCACTTAATATTCAAAAGAAACATTCCCTAATTTCCTAAATTCAACCAGAAATGCTTAAATAAACCATTACAATTAATGAGATCAGTTTTATTTATATTTAAATTAAAATAATCACCAATGTTATAGAAACACATATTTATAGCAGTGACATTATTATATCTTCACTGGTTATATCATTCAATAAAAAAATAAATTATTGGCAATTTGTTAATAGGGATGTTAGCAAATAAATTCCTAACAACTGTGGCTCCAAAAATATACAATCAACTTCCCTTTAAGTCATAAAAATCAGAACAATTATATATTTTTTTCAGAGAATGTAAAAAGTTTATTGGAAATAATTTCAAGGGTTCCACATTGTTCCCATTTGGGACTCTCACCTGAAACTGCATAATTTTAAACAAACAAATGTTAATGTACCTATAAGATTCTTATATATTATTAAGATGAAAATAGATGATGTTTTCTCAAATGGATCTTGGCTGCATTTCCCCAGATAAGTATTCCAAATAATACAATGTGAATGGAAAAATATATTATGTTGTAAATGGTTGCTTCTTTATTAATTTTAATGCAAACACTGTTCAAGCAAGTTTGTTACATAAGAAATCTATATCGAAAATCAAAAAAGTTTTGTATCCAAGTACATGAATCCTACATTCATGGTTATACCTTTAGAAGATACCTAATAGAAGTTTGTATTATCAGCATACACATTGGTCAGCAATAGATGCCTACTTATGTATAGCAGGGACAGAAGTTGGAAAGGTGGTAGGTAAAGATGTGGTAAACATAGAGAACTTCATGATTTTAGTGAAAATGTTTGTTCACTATTGAATAAAAATAATACCAAACATTTAAAATGATTACTGGTCAAATCAGCCAAACATAAGCTACAAATAATTATTTAAACCAGTAAAACTATCCCAAATCATAATTCTATAAAATATCAACAGCTATTAACAATTTATTAAACTATTTGCATGAAATTTTTATTAGCATCTACAAAATAATTTCAGTTAGCTCTGCATCAAGACTGCCAAATCCTGTGTATGAAGTGGAAGAACTGGCAGAAGCATCTCCAAATTATGTCCCTGCTATACCAAGGCACTGGAATTGGTTAGAGAAAAGGTAGAAAAATTCGGATAGGCAAATGGCACCATTTCTATTTTCTAATATAGAATGTAAGAGAATACCTACCTTTCGATGAAAATGAAGAAAACATTCTGAAGCAAACAAATATACTATTTATTATTAATTTTTCTTCTTTCTTGAATGGTAGGTAATCTTCATATTACACTGGCTGTGTAATTTTGCTAATATATTAAATTAGTTATAAGCTCTTAGTAAGGTACTTACGCGTTTATTAGTGATGAATGCAAGTGGGACTTTAAGCTGAATCATGTGGTGCTACGGTTTAAAATCGACGTAGAACACACACCAGATTCAACTCAGTGTCCCACAAAATTAGTAGGCACTTTGTTAAATCCCAAAATGCACTTAGATAATCGCATGAAAGATGTGCTAAATGAGGTATTAAGTTGATTAAATAATGAATAGTAAAGCCGAAATGCAACTAAAAATGGTTATGTGCGAAATAAGATCCACTTACTTTTCCAATTTAATCCTTTTGAGAGCAACTTTTTTTCCAGTCACTTTGTTTTTGGCTTTATAGACGACCCCGTAGGTTCCTTCTCCGGCTTTGGCTAGCTTGATAAATCGATCCAACTTGTCCATTACGTAAAAAAAATTCGGGGTCGATGTGGATATGGAATTACATTAAAAGCGGGAAAAATACTTGTTTTCCGCGGATCCATTTTTGTTTATTAAATTTCTGCGCATGGGTAGATGAAAACGGTCAATAAACAGGTGTGCCAACATTACGATTGACTAACGGGAGGATTGCATTCCAAATTCGACGCATGGCCATTCCTTTTTTAGTAATTTTTATATACGAGGGATATACTAATATAATACAATGCACAAATAAGTAAAATTTTAAATGTAAAATAAAGATTATATTTCCATAAGTGCATAAACACTTGTTTCAACATAAACAATATATAATTAGAGAAAATATGGGTAATAATTAATTAAAATAAGACAAAAATCACAGATAATAATGATACGAAGTAAAAGGATTTTTTAAATGTTATTAATGACTAAATTTTATTTATTTTGTTTTAAAAATGTATAAATTTTAACGGAGTTACTTAAACAAAACAAATTGAAAGAAAGAAATAAAATTCTAACATCCGCTTGCAAGAATTAACGCTGGTTAAATCTCTCTACAACTTTTAGACTGGGTGTAATTTGAAATTAATATCATTTAAAGTCTATTGGGTCTATAAATTTTGATAAACGTTGTTGCAATCAGTTGTTAGACTTTCTACATCCAATTTATTATATATAATCAACCCAGACAACACACCAAATCCCAAAGATATCCACAGAATATCTTTTGTGGATATCCAATATATCCACAGGATATCAGAAATATTCCGTGGATCTAATATGGATATCCAAATGTCCGTCTATATCCAGAATATAGAAGATATCCTATGGATATTCAGCAAAATATCTAATTAGTATCTTCCAGACAATTCAAGAAATCCCAGAGATATCCACAGAATATATTTTGTGGATATCCAATATGGATATCCAACCAAATGTCCGTCTATATCCCAGGATATATAATTCAGATATTCAGCAAAATATTTTATAGGTATCTTTAGTAGACATTCATAAGTAACCAAATGATTGTTACGAAAGAAAATAGAGATAAAAAATATTTCCAACAATCTGCCTTTGAGTTTGCCCACTAAGGAAAAAGTCATCCTTATTAGGACTCTTCAGCAATAAATGGAAATTCTCGACTCCAGTCTCTAATAGAGTTAATGCGAAAAAATTTTCGATCAACTCAATTATGGCGGATTGAGCATGAGTAGATACGAAAGTGGTATCGCCATCTATACTTAGGAAGCAAAATCAAAAATTACATCTAGTAGATATCCACGATGGTTTGCGTCCGCGCTAAGACTTTGATATATGTGGATGTCCATGGGATATTGAATACACCTTCAAAAAATTAATTTTAAATATCTGAACGGTACTATTAGCCACAATGGCGAGCACAATGGCGTAATTTTTTAATAATTTGCTATATAATTACTATTATTTATGGGCATTTGCATGTCTATAAATTACAATTTATGGATATAAAATAGATATCCACCATGGACTGGACATTCAGTGGATATTGGGATGTTCAGTAGATATCCAAAGGATTTGGTGTGCTGTCAGGGAAATGGGACGTCATCAGACTTAAGATAAAGTAACTGTTGACAATTACTAGTGACTGCTAAAATTAATAACAAATAATATTATTAAAAGAATAAATTAACGTTAAAAAATATTAAAAAATAAAAAATAAATAATAAACAAAAATAGGGTCGATAATGATGACACGATATTACAAATACGAGTATTATCGTAGCTATAGTACAGAAATAGACTATATAAAGAATTCATATATAGAAACTAGAAACTCGAAGAATGTAAATTTTTGAAAAAAGCCCTATAAATCAGGATACATGCATAATATTCTCCATGTTCTGTCATTAAGAGTCTGCACAGTTTATTGACCTGGTTACGTAGTTATTTTGAGGTTAACATTGGTCAAAAAGTGATCGATTTTCAAAGAAAAGTAAAACTGATTCATGTATAAATATTGCAGTAGTAGTGTTCATTATTGTGTGCTGTTTCAATTTTTTTCTACAAGAATCTCTCACTAGGACAGAATAATAGTTTTTTGATCTCAGAGAAGCGTTTAAAAAATATAATTCTATATCTAATATGACTCTTAATGACTAAATAGTAGACCATTTTATTTTACAATTAGTGTGTAAGTTGATTTAGATATTTTTTGACGCACATATTCAATAGAAATAGAAATATTTTATTCTCAGTAATACATACATAAACATGTTTACATAGTCGTCAGTACAGATAAATGGTAAAATACACCACATTTTACATACATTAACATACAGCATACTCGTATAAAATTTAAAATAAAATAGGATTTTACTAAATGGAGCAGTTTCCACTACTGTGGAACTGTGGTATACCGAAACTAGTAGACTTGCATTACACTTTTACGTCATATGCCAAACTCGAGATAGTGGAGCTAGTCAATTTTGGTGAGACTAAATTAATTTTTTTAAATAGCTTCATTTAAATGAAATAATATCATTTTCATTCCGTCAGTCTTGAAATATAAAATTATTGACTTCAAATAAATCAAATCAAAGTCGCCATTTTCATTACACTTTTCGTCACTCGAAGTGCGTCCAATAGCAAAATAGTGTTTTTGTTGTCTTTATTTTATTCTATCTCAAATACTCACATCGAGCCTTCAACCACTGATTCACTCATATTATTTTTATAGGTATATTTTGTTTCGTACACCCCTCGTATAATGAAGCTACTCTAATTTTTTATAGAAGCTCACAAACTTGAATTCCTCCGGTTAGTCGCTGGTGATTTTGAGGATGAAACATGGAAATATCATTTTTCCACATTCTACTTATGACAAATATGAAAATATTATTCCAGTAACGATTTTTGTTTGATTTTAAACAAGATATCCAACGCCTTTTTGGCATTTAATTAATTCTAAAGTATTGATTTTTTAAATCGTTCTGTTGGTAGTTGGTATGGTTACTTCCGGTTTCAAAGGGCGACACTAGCGCCACCAGCTTCCTTCCTCTTCATTCGACTTCGTGTAACTTTTTTGATGTTAAGGGTGTGTGCGCCGTTTGGTGCTAAATATTTAGAATATACAAGAAATTTTAACAATTTTCTTGTAACAGTGTGTGCAAAACAATCTTTTAACTGAAGGGAGTTTTTTAACCAAAGTAAGTACTATTTTTATCTGTTATTTGTTTGTTATTTCTATAAAGTTTGTGTATAGAAGCCGCCATGATGTGGCGTCGGTTTTAGCGGCTTCTCCGTCTTAGGCAAACATTTTAATTTCCTTTCGTTTTTCTCACTTTCCAGAACCGACGATGGCGTCGGAACAATTCTCATTATGTTGGGACAATTTCCACAAAAATATGAGTTCCGGCATGAACTCATTGTTAGAGAGCGAAGACTTAGTGGACGTGACGCTTGCCGTGCAAGGGAAGTGTCTGAAGGCCCATAAAATGGTCCTTTCAGTTTGTAGTCCTTATTTTAAAGAACTTTTTAAATCGAATCCGTGTCAACATCCCATTGTTTTTATGAAAGACGTTAGTTACGAAGCCTTAAGTGATTTGTTACAATTTATGTATCAAGGCGAGGTACAAGTTAGTCAAGAAAATTTAACTACTTTTATTAAGACTGCAGAGGCCTTACAAATTAAGGGACTCACCGGTGACGGAAATGTAAGTATTAGAATTTCTTTTTTTTTTTTGTCTAATATTAACAATGGCGGCCGGTACCGGTATCTAGCGTTTCCTGCCGATGCTGTTCGTTTGCCTTCGGTTTTGGTAAAATCGATTTATGAGGAATCATTCGATTGTTGTTATAAGTATGTAATCGAGTGGTTAAAAATGTACACAAAAGTTTTAAAAACCAGGTACGGCCTTCAAAATTTCTAATTCCTTATGTTTTGGTCAGATTTTTATGAAATTTTTAGGAAACTTTCGAAAAGTATTTATTTTGATAGTTTTAAGAAGGAATTAAAAAAAAATATATTTACCATTGTATATGTATTCAATGAAAAGGGTATATCGAGGGATCCTGAGGGGCGAATTTTGTAAAAAAAATTCCTTTTTCCAGAAAAATCTAATTAAAAACCTCATTTTTACAGGTTATATTCACAAAACATTTACTCTAGATGACAGATTCGGTCTTAAAAATTACAATGTTGCCAAGTTAATAAAGGATTATTTAAAGTGTATAAAATAAAAAAAAAAAATAACAAATTTTAACTAATTTACCCAGGGTCGGAAAAAACCTAAGAAATAAAAAATATATGAGAAGGTTTTTAGGTTATTTAAATTTTTTAAGGTTTTATTGGTTTTTTGTTCATATATATGTCAAAAGTTAATATTAATAAAGTTAAACAAAAAATACAAGCAAAACTTGAAAAATAGAACTATTATATTAAAAAAAATCACATTCTGCAAACAAAAAAAACTAAAAAGTGAAAAATATATAATTTTTTTTTGTCACCATTAATATATAACGTTTATAATTTTTTAGAAATAAAATTGTGAATTTCTAATATTTATCTTGAAAAAACCTAAAAATGCATAATTTTTACTTTAGGTTTTTTTTTTTTAAATCTAAAAATGTAGGTGCAAAAAACCTGTACTTGATAACCCTGAATTTACCTAACCTGTGTGGCCTGGAGACATCTTAGGTCGCCTCCCAAAAAAATATACATAAAATAAGAAAAACTTAATAAAAATTAACTAATATACCTAACCTGTGTGGACTGGAGTAACCATGGGTTGCTTCTCAAAAAAATATACATAAAATAAGAAAAATTAAACAAATATTAACTAACTTACCTAACCTGTGCGGCCTGGAGTCACCACAGGTTGCTTCTCAAAAAATATACATGAAATAAGAAACCTTTAACAAAAATAACTAATTTACATAACCTGTACGGCCTGGAGTAACCACAGGTTGCTTCTCAATATAATATACATAAAACAAGAAAAATTTAAACAAATTATAACTAATTTTAACTAATTTACCTTACCTGTGCTAGGTATATGGCATTAGTTATCTGCCAAATTCAGGGTTGGCAGGTACAGGTTTTTTAAAAATCCTAAAAGTGAAAATTCTGCAATTTTA